CCCGTGCCCCCTGCAGCCCCCCGTGCCCCCTGCAGCCCCCCGTGCCCGCCGTGCCCACACCAGGTCCAGGCTGGTTCTCTCCAGCACATCCACCAGCTTCTCCAGCCGCGTGCGGGGCGTGAAGATGAAGTCATCGTCCACCCACAGCACGTACTTGGTGGTCACCTGCGACACCGCCAGGTTCCTCCCGGCGAACCAGCCCTGCGGGGGCAGCGCGGACCCTCGGGCACGGTCCCGCACCCGCAGGTGCCCACGGTGCCACCCCTGAGCCCCGCGGGCCTGACAGAGCCCCGTGTCCCCATCCGGGGATCCCCCCGTGTCCCCATCCCTGAGATCCCATAGCCCTCACAGACCCCTCGTGTCCCCATCCCCGGGGTCACCCCGTGTCCCCCGTGTCCCTCGAGCCCTGCCAACCCCCACGAGCCCCCTGGGTTCTGTCACTTTGTCAGCCCCTCACGTGTCCCCTCCTCTCCCTGGGGGTGTCCCTGCCCTGGCAGGGTTCCCATGTCCCCCTTCCCCACTGTCCCCTTCCCACTGTCCCCTTCCCCAGGGACCCCCACCCTGCCAGCCCTGCCCCTCCCTGGGGGTCCCCACCCTGCCAGCCCCCCTGCCACGCCCAGGCAGCCACATCCCGCTCAGGACCCCGGTGTCCCCTCTCTGCCATCCCAGACCTCCATGCCCCCTCCTTTTTGGGGACTTCAGCTCCTGCCAGCCCCTCCTGTGCCCCACACGGCTCTGCCAGCCCCCATGTCCCCTGTTTGGGGTCCCTGCCACCCTCCGTGTCCCCTGTCACCAACCCCTGTCCCCTGTCTGGGGTCCCCACAGCCCTGCCACCCTCCCATGTTCCTTGTCTGGGGTCCCTTCCCCCTTCCTGTGTCCCCTGTGGGGGTCCCTGCCACCCTCCCATGTCCCCTGTCTGGATCCCTGCCACCCTCCCGTGTCCCCTGCCACCATCTGGTGTTCCCTGTCTGGGGTCCCTGCCCCCTGCTGTTTCCCCTGTCTGGGGTCCCTGCCCCCCTTCCCTCTCCCCTGTGGGGGTCCCTGCCACCCTCCCGTGTCCCCTGCCATGCTCCCCTGTCCCCTGTTTGGGGTCCTTCCTCATCCCCTGTCCCCTGCAGGGGTCCCTGACCCCTCCCGTGTCCCCTGTCTGGGTCCCTGCCACCCTCTCCTGTCTCTGTGGGTATCCCTGCCACCAACCTGTGTCCGCTGTGGGGGTCCCTGCCCCTCCCGTGTCCCCTGCTGTGTCCCGTTCCCTGTCCCCTGCCCTGTCCCCTGTCCCCTGCCCTGTCCCCTGCCGTGTCCCCTGTCCCCTGCTCTGTCCCCTGCCGTGTCCCCGCTCCGCGGTGCCCCCGTGCCCACCTTGCCGAAGGGCATGAGGTAGTGCTCCAGGTGTGGCCCTGCCAGGGGCTCGGGCCGCTGGCTGTCGTCGGCCACCACGATGGTGACGGAGGGGTAGAAGCGGCGGATGCTGGCGATGAGCCCCCGCAGTTTGTCATAGCGCAGGAACGTCTTGGTGGCCACGGTCACCAGCGCCGAGATGTTGTACCCTGGGGGGGAGGCACTGGGAGCGCTGGGAGCCCGAGCTGGGAGCACTGGGAGCGCTGGGAGACTGAACTGGGAGCGCTGGGAGCGCTGGGAGACTGAACTGGGAGCACTGGGAGTGCTGGGAGTGCTGGGAAACTGAACTGGGAGCACTGGGAGCGCTGGGAGCCTGGACTGGGAGTGCTGGGAGACTGAACTGGGAGCACTGGGAGAATGAACTGGGAGCGCTGGGAGCCTGGACTGGGAATGCTGGGAGTGCTGGGAGCGCTGGGAGCCTGAACTGGGAGCACTGGGAGCACTGAACACCCCCACGGAGGGCACTGGGACTGCCCCAAGGAGCAGGGATGGGAACACTGGGAACACTGGGGACACTGGGAGCATTGGGGACACTGGGAGCACTGGAAGTCAGGCACTGGGGACACTGGGAGCACTGGGGGCAGGGCCGGGCCGCTCTCGGGGTGCAGCCCCGTGCTCACCCCCGTCCCCGCTGCTGGCGCTGTCGCTGTCGCTGTCGCTGTCGCCGGTCCTGCCCGGGCCGTAGAGGCGCGGCGTGGGCGGGTGGCGGATGCGGATGGCGAAGGCGGCGGAGTGGCCGTCGGTGGAGAACTGCACTGCAGGGCGAGCGGGGGCTGGGGGCGAGGGGGGCGCGGGGAGAGCCGGGGATTGCCGGGGACGGGGGTCACCGGGGGACACCGGCAACGACGGGAGCATCGGGGGTACCGCGAGTGTCCCAGGGGTACCCCGAGTGTCCCTGTGGGCACTGGGGGTACTGGAGGTGTCCCTGTGGATATTGGGGGTCTGGGATGCCCCTGTGGGCATTGGGGGTACCCCAAGTGTTCTGTGGGCTTTGGGGGTACCCCGAGTGTCCCAGGGATCCACCGAGTGTCCCTGTGGGCATCGGGGATATCCCGAGTGTCCCTGAGGGCATTGGGGATCCGGGGGTCCCGGGGGGAACTGGGCATCCAGGGCAACCAGGGGAGCTCGGGGGGTCCGGGCGTGCCGGGGGCCCAGGAGCGGGGGGTTCGGGAGTGTCGGGGGTCCCAGGGCCCTGGGGGTCCCGGAATGAGCCCCCCGTACCCACCGATGTCGGCGGTGTCGGGGTGGAACTGGGTGTTGGTGTAGGTGACGAACTGCAGCTGCCGGTTCAGGTGGTCCAGGTGGGCGGCGGCCAAGGACAGGTGCGGCTGCCCCTCCCCCCGCAGCGCCACGCCCTCCACCTCGGCCGCCACCGCCAGCGTCCCCAGCGAGGCCGTCAGGTTCACCTGGGGGCGGCACGTCACGGGGCGGGGCACGGCAGCGACCCCCCCCCAAAGCGGGGAGGCGGCACACGGGGGGGGAGGGGGCTCCACGGCCCCGCCCACCCCCATAGCCCCTCCCACAGAGCGAACAGGCCCCGCCCATGTCCATCCTCACCTGGTACCTGCTCCTGGCCGGCGCCTGCAGGCTGAGCCCTGGGGGCCGCGACACGGGGGTGAGGCCCGGAGACCCCCGCAGGGACCCCCTGCCCCCCCCCCAGAGCCACCCGGGGGTCCCCCCTGCCCAGGGACGCCCCTCCCAGTGCCCCCCCGACCCTGT